TGCTCATAACCTGGAAAACGAAGATAGGTTGTTTGCTATCGTATTTGATACAAAAGAGGATGTGGAGATAATTCGAGCACATCCACCCTTCTCAGACACATGGGTGAAGGAAACTACCTATCTTAATGCCATGTCGATTGGTGCTTAACTTTCTTCGCTGCGGTTTGTCATAATGAAGTAACACTAACCATGAGGCTGAGAATTACGTTCACATGCCTGAAAACAAACTTCAAAGCCCAGAAATTTATGGAACAACTAAGACAGATACTGACCCTACTACAGATAGGTTGTTAATTGACCAAAAGGTCAACAAAGGGGAAAGATTGTGAAAGCACAGTAATTTGTACTCATACTAGACTATTTGTCGCAAGAACACACCTTCGTTTTTCTTAACATGTACCAAAAAGCCCACGTCTCAAGGGAACAAACGCTTTCAGTATTTGTATTATCACTGTATGTTTTCGACAAAGAACTTTGCACATATGTGCGACAGTTCGAGTCACCACACTTCATGCAAAATGGAGACAGTAAACAGGGATATGAGACAAAAGGAATAGTAATAGCGAAGAACAATATAGTTTCATTGGAAATCGTAAGTCACAGGGAGTGGATGCATCGGTGCCATTGAGAACAATTTTGAGCCATATCACCAATTGTTTCCAAAAATTGGTTTTTACCGTCCCGAGGACCCCAACCAGAAAGTCTACACCTTCCTACGTGGCTTAAAATAACTGTTGTAGGTTTCACTGACTGGTGCCATGTTTTGGTTTGACCACTGCTAGCTCTTTTCCAGCCTGATCCTCTGTCAGCTAACATTGCCCGTCGAGGAAGGCGATGACTAGGCATGTATGCGTAACACATGTCCTAACTATCTCAGTCGATGTAATTCCGCAGCCTCGTCGATTGATTTCCCCTCTTTACCTAATACTCGACCGAAACCTAACCTCAATATTGCTCACCTTATTATACCACTTCACATGGGAGATAGAGTGCAGACACCTATGATAAATGACAGCTAATCTTTTCATGTCTTCCACTCTCAGTGGCCAGGTCTCACAGCCATAAAGGAGGACGGAGCGGACTGATGAGCAGTACACCCGATATCACGTCTACTAAGCCATAGACGGCGTAAAATGGCATATGCGAAACTAGCCCTCTGTATCCGTGCTGAGATTTCGTCAGAGATCAATCCGTTGGCACTGTCTGATGGTACTTCCCAAATAAGTGCAGCGGTTAACGTGCTTTACCACTTCACTTCCTATTTCTAATCTAGGAGTCGATGTAGTCCAGTCCTGTAACATCATCTTGCATTTGGTGGGAGCGAATCGTATGCCAAACATTCGTAGATTGCAGCTCAAGGTGTTTAGAAGACTGCATTTTATCAGCGTCCTCGCCTAGAAGGACTATATTACTGCATATTCTAAGTCAGCAAGATTATTCCTTGGTAGCAAGTCAATCCCTGTGTCTGTGAAGTGAGTTAGGGTTAAGTCCATTAGTACATCTATGATAAAGTTGAATAGGAATGGGGATAATGGGCATCCCTGACGCACACCACTAGTTGTCACCACAACTCGCCGTAAGCCCTCACCTGGCTAGCTGCATGAGTCCGAGTAGAGTGCCTTAATCAGTGCAATGCATTTTCTCGGGATTGCCTTTACAGCCAAGCATCGCCAGAGAACCTCTCGGTCGACAGAATCGAATGCCGCCTTAAGGTCAAGAAATAGAACGGTTGTTGGAGACCGGTGAGTATGTCTGTGTTCCAGAATATGTCTTAGGGTGAATATATGATCAATACACCCTCTTCCTGGTCTAAAGCCTGCCTGGCTCTCTCGTGTTCGTTCCTCCTGGGCACCACTTAGTCTACGCAAGATTATTGAGCCTAGGACTTTAGATACCATATTAGTCAAGCTAATCCCTCTGTGATTATCACAGGAAGACTTGTCTCCCTTCTTGTATATCGGGATAATCAGTGACGTACACCAAACCGACGGGACTTCCTCCGATTCCCAGGCGCTGCCTAGAACCTCAGTTAATGCAGACAGTAAACTGTCTCCACCGTACTTAAGTACCTCTGAAGTCTTTCCATCAGGTCCTGCTGCTTTACCTTGTTTCAGATAAGTGACAGCTTTAGTAACCTCAGTTAGGGATGGAGGACCTGTGTCTATATCCCACTCATGGAGGTGTTGGATGTAGGCCAATTAAACTGCTCCTTATAATGCTCTTTCCAGCGTTCCAATCCTCTATCCTGGGAGCTAATTATGGTACCATTTTTCTCCGAGATTGTTTCACTTATGATTTGCCTTTTACCACCTGTTTCCGTGATAAGCCTAAATAGTTGTCTGTTGTTGCCAATCACCGATGCCTTTTCCATCTCTTTCGCTTTTGTCGCCCACCGCTGTTCACGGTCGTTGCGAAAACTTCTTGTTAGTTTTCGTTTGAGTACCTTTCGCTTCTCATCATAATCGGAGCTAGCCGGAATCAGTCTTCTTGCGTCAATCAGTTCGAATGAGGCGTTGAAGATCCAATGGCTCTTACTAAAGTTTGGTTTTAGCTTATTAAAAGCTATGTCTACAGCTAACTGTATGTTGTGCCTGGCTACCTCAGGGGAAGTCTTGCTGTTGACCTCAGACACTCGTTTCGCTATTTCTTCCTTAAATAGGGACTCACAGTCTCGATCTAGTTGGGGACGTAACTGTTTCGTTGCCGTTAATTTCATTTGTCCATTTGGTCGTAAGCATAAATGTGCACGAACCAGAGCGTCATCAGAGTCTACGCACGTGTTCTAAAAGGAGCGACAGTCTTCTGCTGACCCTCGCCAACGATACCCTGTCCCTCTGTGGTCTATCTGAGTCCAGCGTTGATTTGGTGATGGAGGTCGCCAGGTTACAAAATGTCTTTCTTTGTCCTTAAATTTAGTGCTGACTAGGAACAGATGATCATCTAAGCAAAACTATAGAAGACGATCGCCGTTGTCGGTTCGTCAGCAGGGAACTCCATACAAGCCACATACACGCTTCTCAGTCTGGCAGAGCTCTTCTACTTGGGCATTGAAGTCGCCTGCTAAAACAACTTTATCTGACGTTTTACCTTTCTCAGCAAATTAGACATTTTCAGGTAGAAGTCATCCTTTAGTTCATCCGAAATGCAGTCTGTTGGGGCGTAAGTGGAGACTACGAAAAGGTAACGACTGGGGTAGCGCCATCTTTCCATCTTTTAACGAACCCATTCAGACGGACCGCACACATACGACTATCTGCTGTGATCAAGTCGAGAAGTGATTTTTCCGCCATAACACTCAGCGCTATCCCTACACCTGCGAGTCCTCGCGAGCTAGCTGAGGGGTCTCCTGACACCCCTAAAGTGAATTTCGCAGATTCACCTTGTTGACCGGGTGAGGTTAAATGAATGACCACACTCGCGTCTTGTATGCGTGTCTCCGAAACACAACATACATCCATGGCTCGAGTTGCCAGAGTTCTTGCTAGTGATGCTTGTTGTCCGATTTGGCAGAGGGTCTTGACGTTAAATGCTGCTTTATGAAGTTGGTGACGTGGCTTTGAGAGGCTATCGGGGTTGTTCCTATGGCTCTCATCGATGTTTGGGGTAATAGAGTGAAGTGAAGATGACTCACTAGCCTGCAGAATAGTACTAACTATAGTAGAGAAGCAAGATGAGAAAGGTGATGTGAGTAAGGAAGAGTGATGCTCAGGAAGGCTTCGTGCGCTTTTGGAAGTGTGTGGGCGGTTGTTACTTCCCGGCTGCCCACACCGTAGAAGTTGATTAATTCTTCGGGTACCTGAAACAGAGAGTGTTGCGTGACCGCAGAGCCCAGCGGACAACTGCTTGAGGCCGGTCACACGCGGCCTGTTTTTGTTTGTTCTTTTTTATTTGGTGTGTCTCAGTAGCATATTTATCACTTTTGGCCTGTGACACGGCAGCAGGAAGCGCAGTTGTTGTTAATCCGGGCCCCGACCGATCCGGCATGATATTTTGTGATTTAGTTTGAGTCATAGCATTGGATTGGATAGCTGCTTTTTGTGTAACCGCTATCCAAACAACCTTTCTGGCATGGTAGGACCTCAAGCGACATAAGTCTCAGCCAATATAGCTTGTCGGGTCATTGCGGTGTTCAAGCCCGACCACCACGTCTAGGTAGCAGCTTTCGGTCGGTATTACCACACATCCCGTTGATATGGGTAAAGGGATGAACACTTCAAAATCCTTTGATATTATGAACAGAGAGAATAGTCCAATTCTCCCCAGGTTTTCCGAAGCGATTGTGATCAAGTGCCCAGAACTTAATTTGTGTTCGGAAAGAAACACTTATCAGACTTTCATTGCCCTACCAACTCTATATTTTGTTTAATACTGTAATCTTTAGTTTTAACCTTTATCTGTCTTGCTATAACGTAATTTTTGCTTCCTTTTTATTTCCATGACCCGAGTTGAATTCACCACGTTCTCATGTCACTTATTAGATACTTACCATCTGTGTACTCACTTCTTGCCCGTATTAGGTAACTGCCTTTCTATCATATCCAGGCGTTTATTACTTTGATTTTTTCTTTAAACTTGTACCTTCTGTTTATAAGTTAAATGAGTAATTTCTGAAGACTATTAATGAATTTCGGAGTCTCCTTTTAACCGAAATCATGTCACCTTTGAAAGTAGGTGAAGAACTCTCTACACATATACTTAATTTGTTCCTCCAAGGTTATATGCAGCTGAAGGGAAGCCGAAAATATAAGTGATGGCATCATCTTATTCTGTACAGACAGAAGTATCTGCTTTATTCAAACTTTTCACTTGCTCATCCATTTTTCACATTTTAAACAATACCGATGACTATGACAGTTGTGTTCATCATAATTTCGGTTATGTATAATTTGATTCAGAAAAGTCGTTGAACTACACATAATTTCCACAGCAATTTTTTTTATTTCCATATAAAATAATAAATTATGGTATTTGAACATTGTGGGATTAACTTTTGGAGAAATTTATACACTTGTTGTAATGTCTTGCTGAGATAATTGTGGGATTTTGACTACCATCTGATCATCAGCCAAAATGATGTCACCATTGAAACCAGTCGATTTAGCTTGATCTAAAATAATTTGTAAAGTAGGTTTACTTTTCTTGTCAGTTTTCAACTTTTTAGTGCAATCCGGTTGTTGTTCACCAGAACCATCTATAAAAATAATACCAGTAAAAGAAATTGATACATGATTTAGTTTAATTGTAACAGAATATCGAGGGTGATAATTCAAGAGAAGCACTGTAAGATATGAGGAAAAAGTGGTAAAAGCATTCACATTTAATCATCCTTCTTTTACCTGGCTTATTCCTATTATAAGTATATCACGTGCCACACCCTTATAAGAAGTGCGGATAGGAAACGGTGAGTCTGGTGTGGATGCCGGGGTGACATGGAGGGAATCATGGGAAAAGGAGTTGAGAGTTTATGAGCAAGCTAAAGAGAACTGCAGAAAACAGGATGAAATAGAGACGTGCAGTTGAACCCCTATGTTCCATTCGTAGTTTAAGAAAATAACAATAATATTATAATAATAGGCGGGCACTGACAATTTACCTGTCTTGCTTACTAGTCCAATGAAGTCTACAGGATGCTAAAGAACCAATCGCTGGAATCTACGGATGATATGGCTCAAAATCGTTTTCAATGGCGTACGTGCATTAACTCTTCAATCTCGCATATTCATGCTGCTATTTTTTCTTCTGTACAGTTTTGTTCGTTATAGTTCTTTTCCCCTTTCCCCTCTACTTCTGTGTGCTACATGGAGTGTGGCAACTTCAACTGTTGCACTTCTGTTAGTTAAAACATTGAGTTCTAACTTTGACTGAATGAATTATTTGTGATTTGTTCACTGTGTTAATTATTTCATCCTTCTGTGATAAATGGTGGTTTTTATCCTATTTACCTATAATTTTATACTACCAGTACTACGTAAAAATAAGCCTTAATATTTGAATATTCCATTTCTGAAGCTCTGGCATATAACTTTATTCAGCTGTCATCCGTAGGAAATTAATCACCCAATTATTATGAAACAGAAAATACAAATGAAGTGTTACTCGACAACTACTTGCAATTCCACGCAGGTGATAATGAGTCATACTTATTGTGTGAGAGCTAAAAATGCTACCTGGCTGTCAAAACGTCAGGAGATGCAGTGGGGTTCGAACCCGTGACCTACTTGCTGGAAGTCCGATGGGAAACAACTCCACTTTGAAACAGCTGATATGAGTATTTCACTGTTAGCAACAACACCTGATTCAAACCCCATTTATCTAACTTATGCATAAACAGACTGGGAGTATTATCAAGAGTGTACAAAGACATGTACATACTTCTGTAATGTAATGTAATTATACAAGTGGTAAAATCTTAAATATGTTGACAACATTAAACATCATCATTATACCAACAAACTCATTTTGATAGAATAATGTTAAGAAGATAATTGAAATATATATTCCAGAACATTACCAGTCAACTCCTAATCAGTCATTATTAACTTTCACTCACCCTATGCAGACAGCCTGACGTGCCTGCCGAAGATTCTACTTTGTCACTGTTCCTATTTAATTTTAATATAGATCAAAGACGGCGCTGTTCAGTTCCTTGTATTAAGTTAAATGCGACACGGTCAGCAATAATCAAGTTATGCGTAGCTTGGTAAGAAAAGACAGTTAAAGGACGAGATGGCTAGGACATGAGTTATGCATGCCGAGCAACTGCTTTCCTAGACAAGCAACGTTAACTGATATGAGACTGAATCATGGAAGAGTTAAAAGTGGTCAAACCAAAAACATGGCAATAATCCTCCATAAAGTTTTCAGTTGTCAGTCTCCCCCACGTACGGATGTGTAGATTGCCTGGACTGTGTCCTCCATATTCCAAACATCAATGGCTGAAGACTACTGGTGATACGACTCAAAGCCATCAGCAATAGCTAAGACAAGCTTACTCTCTGAAAATGCTCACTAATCGCCATCTAATTATTTTTGTATCATACATTTTAGTTAAACTACGTTTCTTTATCTACTATCGGTGTGATTTTATAGGACGGGGAAGCTCGAACTAATGCACTTCTGTTTCGAGCTCTACTTTAGTTCAGTTTTTAGTACTGAATTAAAGGAGAATATACTTTTATACCATACAATTTACTGTTATTACCATAGAATTTACAGAGTCAAGATAAATCACCAGATGAGTGGTGTAGAAATTGAATGCTGAGTCTTAAGCAATGTGTAAATAGATATTGCTTGAGAATGTGTGTATTTCAGTGTTGCCAAACGAACGTTAAATTATCATTATTTTTGCCTAGTAACCAAAAATTTATGTCTGACATCGTTTGATTAAGTAGAAGACAGAAGTAAACATGAGAAAATTCCTGGATTTCATAGCATGCGTTCATTAACTTTTAAAGGTTGTGTGCACTGTGATAATTGGCCATCTGGTATTTAGACCACTTAGATTTGGCTAGCAAGCCCTACTCTCTGAGTTGAGTGATATCCAACTACTCATACCAATCAGTAGTATATAACATGAGCTCTTACTTTGTATTAAAATGTTACAACTTCAAACAAGATATATTTACCTTTTACAGCATTTTCAACCGAAGGATCAATTCGACTATATCTATGACTAAAGTGTGTAAAAATTAACTGACGAACATTTAATTGACTGGCCAACTTGGTTACAACACTTGGCACAGAATGACCTTTACTCAAAGCATTCTCATATAAATTGTCATCTAATGTAGCTTCATGTACAAGGGTATCTAAAACTATTGAAGGGATTTGATTTGTATTCTGTAAAACTTGCATAAGACGTAATAGTTCAGAAGAATCATACGTATCTCCCATAATTGCGATACGATGACCTCTTATAGGAGGTTTCAAAACTTCTTCGGGTTGGATTGTTTTGCCATCTACAACCACTGCTTGACCCTAAAGCAGAAAGAAAAGTGGGGAAAAAGAGAAATCACTTAATAGAAATATGGTAATTAGAAAAAAAATGACAGCGATGCTCTTTCTAAAAAATTTTCACGTTAATAAAACATTATATTTTGTGTTATCAATGATAGGATCCTAAATGACGAATGATAAAGAAACTTAATTTATCAAAAATCATTTTCTCTGGTGTTAAATAAGACATGCAGTCTTCAAGGACTAGAAGTATAGGTGATAGACACATAATATAAAGAATATGAGTAAATAATATAGTCCGACAAATATTCACGTGCCACAACTAATGTTTACAACAATTTAGCGCCCCCGAAGAATTAGGGATTCATTTTCATTCCTTTCAAATACAAAATGAAGTCGCGGAAATAGTCTGTATCGATTGCTACTTTAAAGATAAGAAGTTCAATGGCTGAATGCAAAAACCATTCCACTTATTTTGGAAGTTTCATCAATTTTAATGGATTATATCTCATGAAATTGAAGCACGAATACAAAACGTTAGTGTTTTAAAGCCGCCAACTTGTGTCATCTCTAAATTCGGTAAGATATCCAATCACCCATTAAAACATGTGAGCAGTGCATTTTGTCCTATTTTACAGCTATGACGTATTAGCTTTCAACGGATGTAGACATAGAAAGACGGTGCGTCGGTGGCACAGTGGTTAGGACTCTCGCCGACCATGCACATGGTCCGGGGTTCGAGCCCACGCCGGCGCACACCTGATATCTAAGGTCGGCCTGTAAAATTTGGGCTACCGATATCCATGCTGAAAATTCCATACTTGTACCACAAATACAGTGTGGAATTAAGCTGTAAATAAAAAATAAAAAATCATATGATAGAGAAGATTTGTAGCTCAAGTGGATGATTTTGATGTGGTTGTGTTCTCTGAGCTGGATAGTTAATTTGCGAAGCTTTCATCGCCCTACTAGGCGACATCTTCAGTAGATACTTCAATTTGAAGTGAGCTTTTAGATTTCTCCACAAGTTTATTAATCATCTCTCCTGGTTAATAAACTCGTTGGTGATATTATGAGGCTTCATCACCTAATATAACTGGGAGATGTGTTATGCATGTCTAGCCACCAGCTTCTTTGTCAAGAAATGGGATCAGGTAGGAAAAGAGTTAGTAGTGGTAAGAATAAAAAATGCCATAAGGCAAACCAAGCTAAAATCACTGTTATGCTAAGTATTAATAACTGATAACTACCAGTGATAGAGTTCACATTTGTGGAGTTCATTTGTGTTCTCTATTTTTGTGTGTTTTCTTGAAGTGTAGTTACTTGGATTGGTGTACATTAATGCGAAGTTCTACATTCGTCAACCAATCAGACAAAATCCACTAAATGCAAATTTAATTTAATTCGTCTTTAGGTTAATTTGCATTTCCCGTCGACTGATCGTATTACATCGAAAAAGATGTTACTGAGAGTAAAACCTGGAACCCATTGTTTCAAACGTCAAAGCACTATCCACTAACAACGGTAGGGCAACAAGAGTCATCTCCTGTGCAACAGGTATCAGCTATTAGTCATTTAGGTTAATCTGCTTTTTCCTGCTAATTGATTATGTTAGACTGGAATGATCGATCTTTGCTGGCTCCCAGTAAAAACACTTTGGTGATGTCGGAAGATTAACATAGCATTGTTTTGTCTGACGGTGGACTAGCAGTAAAATCCAGGATGTGCACTTCATCTTATTCGGGGCTTGTCAACTGAAAGTACCTGGGTAATCCCTTAGTATTTGGAACGAGGGGTGCGGTGTTTGAGTCTAAGTAAGAGCACTACCACCCACTTGGAATGCAGCTACATCCATAAGACGAGTCCTAAATAGGACGAACTGTACATTCTGGAGTCAACTATTAGTCACAATTAACCAAAACTAGGCGTAATATGACTTATATAAACAGTTAAAGGCCTTCGACTTAAAATATTTAAGTTAACCCACACAGTGAACATATGCCCAGTCACCACTTAACCCCAACTTGAGATTGCATATTTCTCAAAACAATCCATCAGAAATATCGAAAACCCTACCATATATTGATCATAAACTGTGTTCTTTTTACTATACTTATAGATTACGCTTTGTTTATTATTAAAGTGATTAGTGTTTAGTGCATCTAAGTGATTACAAAGAGTGAATGCATCTGTGCCACTAAGAATGATTTGGAACCATACCACTAATATTCCCAAGCCATTGGTTCTTAGCGTACCAAGGACTCCGGCCAGAAAGTCAACAATTACCTGCGTGGCTCAAACTAACAGTCAGTGACTTCGCGGATTGATTTCGTGTTTAAATTTGACCACTCCTAACTCTTTTCCAACCTAATCCTATGTCAGCTAACACTTCCCGCCGAGGAAGGCGATGGCTCATCATGAGCAACACGTGTCCTAATCATCTCAACCGATGTAGCTTCACAACCTCATCGATCGACTTGTCGTTCTTATCTAACACCACGCCTAACCTCAATATTACTCACAATATTATACTGCTTATCACGGGAGAAAGAACGCAAACAACTAACCTTGATCTCTCACTTTCAATGGTCATGTCTCACAGCCATAAAGGAGGACGGAACAAACCTATGAGGAGTACACACGTCCATTGGTCGACAACCGGATATCATGCATGCATCAGAGGTGACGTAAGTTGGTTAGTGCCACACGTATGTTGTAATCTGTTTGTGACCTTTCATATCCATTAAAACCTCATGCTTTTCCATGTGAATAGTATTTCTCCCGTACGTTCCTCCCTTGAATCTCTTTCTTTTGTTTTCTCTGCCTATGTATGCCACGCGGAGTGTGACGTTATGAAGTTCTGTGCTTCTTTGAAAAGTTCTAAATTCAAACTCAGTCAGTCATTTTTACCTATAATTAGTTTCCTTAAAACACATTACTATGTGATATAACTGCCCATAATTCAAGGTGAGACAAGAGAAAAAGAACATTAGGTGAATCAAGTTATTAAAGCTTAGACGTTGGTCACAGTAAAAAAAATAGCTAATTATTTACAATTTCCTACAGTGACCTTAGGTAAGAGTTAACAGAAATTCAAGTTTCCAAATAAAATGACAAGACTCCACATAGTGTTAACAGACATACAAATGATTTCAATAAGAATTTAAAATATAATAAATCTTACTTGTTTTAATTTACCAAACAGTATACCCTGAGGAACACCCAATTTTAAAGCCGTTTCAACGCATAATGAAGGCGAATGAGTTGGTCTTATAATTAACCAGCCCAGTGAAGGAATAGTATGCTTTATTGACATTGCATGCACAATCGACGCACCATTTTTACTGTTCATAATATTATACCAAAATCCTATTATTCAAAGAAAAGGAGTAGAAAAAATTTAGTGATAAGCATTCCATGAAATACATCTAAAAGAGATTAGACGATACTTTAATCATATTCACTAGGAAAGGGCAAAAAATTTATTAAATGATTGTCTTAAGTTTGAATCCTAATGATACCTAGGAATTTACGAGTTCCTCACCATGAAGAACTTATACACTAATAGATACCAATCTAATCAAATTATTATTAGTCCCACACTTCTTTTATAATGGGATTTTCATTATTCGTTATTTAGACAAGTTGACTTGGATTTACTGGTTTAGGAGACCAATGAATGACCATTTAATAATGATGGATTGACCAAATTCTGCTTATTATTCTGTTTCATTGAAGTGAACTTGAATGTTTAAAATCATTACTTAATATTAGGATTTGATATTTCTCTTAAACTGAGACTCGAAACCCCAAGCCACTTACTGGGATTTACATGCATCTAGCCGATGAGCCCCAAATAGAATAAGACGTGTGTTCTGGACTCAGCTTTGTAACCATCACCAATTAAATAATATCCAGTTTACCTCAAAGAATCATCAAAGCGTGTGTACTAGTAGCCGAGAGGCCAACAGAGACCAAGCATTTCAATTTAATGAAATCATGCAGTGGGAAATTCGAAAATTCTCAACAAACATCACTGTTTGCCAATCTGGAACTGGATTTTTTGAAAGGAAGAAAAGAAATCAATATTCTAATAAGTGATAAGAGTTTCACCGCGAATATTCAGTATTTATGAGTTTACCAATAATAAAACATTACCGTCATCATGGACATAAATATCTCGACCAGGGCGTTCACAGTTCAAAGGTGGATCTCGAGTTTCGTCGGCCTCCAGACTTGCCCAGTCCTGCCAATTAGGCGGACAATGTTTTTCTTCAAGAACCAATTCGTGAACAGCATAAGTATAGCTTAAAGTAGCTCTGAAGATAAATGAAATACGAAAACGTTTACAGTCTGTTTTACAAAACATACTTTAGATAAATTTAAAATACCACATAAGATATAAGAACTTAAGTAGAACAATATTTCAGTCTGAGAAGCCATAAGCATCATCAACGTTGGGTCAAAATGAAAATAAAATTCCATACTAGGATTAAAAAAATGAAAGGGTTAATAACAGTTGAGATTTCAGAACAACCTGTAATCTTCATCAAATTAAAAATAGTAGGATCTGTTGAACATAAACTAATCACACATAAATTCATAAAAATGAAATTCGACAATACTACGACATAATTTGATTGGAAAAAACAGTGCAGGACTAAAAATCAACGGATAATTTAGCCGACACGGTCACAGATGAAGAGTTAACACAAATGAAAAATTCACCAATGATAATTAGATGTTTTTGATGCGAGTGACTTTGATTAACTCGTTAAGACAATCAAGCTCCAAAAAATGAACAAAAGGTTTGAAAAATCATCTAATCTATCAAGGTTTTGTCAACCATATAATATTTAACTAGTTATTTTATTTGTAACGAGTAGATTAGTATACAAATAAGTATATGATTACTGAAATATGTATTTGTGGTAATCCGACAAAGTATTTTACAGATAAAGCTTACACTCTCAAGTGTTTGTTTTTAAAGATCACTTAAAAATGTTAAAATAATCTTGGAGTAAGAACTCCAAAGTGGTGGTTAGATTACATAACAGAGCGAATTATGAAAGTGATTTATTAAACAGTTAGAAAGATAAAAAGACATTCAATCATAGCTCTGAAAGTCCACTTCTTTGTTGAAAATAAAGATGACCTTATCATACGATTATATAACAAGATGAAAAACCACACGACCTACTATAACTTCTAACCAGCAACTCACCTTGATAATGCAAGCGCAAGCCGAACAAATCTACGAAGTCCTTTCGGTCCATAAATATTGACTGATGCATCAGCACTTTGTGCGTTTGTGTTTTCTACAATTATATCACCTGCTTTTCCTTTTTGGTCAATTGTACATAAAAGTCCTGGAAGACCAAACATGTGATCTCCATGAAGATGAGAGATAAAAATGTTGTTTATTTTCCCTAAATGAACGAATGCTGATTTTTGTGCTTGTATTTGTACACCTTCACCGCAGTCAAATAACCACTGTGAACCAACAGTCAGATCACGTAAAACAACTCCAGAAGCCCCTCTAATAGGAGAAGGATAGCCTGAAGCTGTGCCCAGAAATACTAGCTCCTAAAATTGTGAAATAAAATAAATCCCGTTATTTCACCCTACAGGCTGAAAACAGTAAAGTATCTCAATACAGAACCACGACTGAAGTTTCCGTAAATGCAGTAATATGGAAGAAAATAGTTACTAGTTAAAAACTACAATCGGATAACTATCGGCTAGTCACGTACCTACCAGTTGTGTATTCTTAGTAAGCAGCTCGAAATTAAGCCAATGAACTCAAGCTACCCTAAAAACCCATATATAAGGGTGGTGTTAGTGACAGACTAATTTACCCAGAGTACTTTGTATTTCTAGTCTAAATAGCAATAATCAATACGTTTTCACAACTAAATGAGGACGTTATTTTAGTGGGGTTTATAATACGTGGATCTTGTTCATACCCAACCAGGTAAAAACTCAATTCAGCCAATAAAACCGCCTTTACTTCGTAATGTAAGCGCAACCACAAACATATTTTTCAAAGCAGAAGCCTGAAACAAGCTGAATATGTAAACCATGATTTCAATTTTTAATTGTTCATAGACAAACTGTAGTTGTAGAATTACAAAACGTCTAAAAGCATATGCTAAAACGCCAAAAATAAGCAATGAGTCATGAAGAAAACGAATGAAAACCCAGTGGAAAATGCTTAATATCGCCATTGGATGTGACAGCACAAGGAGATTTTTGCGAAGCTCCTAAGGAAAACACCTCCTAACAAACAACTATAGACAATACTGAGCGAGCGAACCAGGATTACTAGATGGCTTCTTTTAAATACAGAATGGCCTGAAAGTGTAGGTAAATTCAGTTCGTAAACAACTTTTAAAATAATGATATAGGCTTTTTGGCTCTAGGGCAAAACTGTAGAATTCGTGTTTAAGTACACACTGTAAAGCAAAACGGAGTGCTCACGAGTAAGACGTGGCAGAGCAGCAGTAATTATTATTAAGCGTCCACCATATTAAAATTCCTTTGAAGACCTACTGAACATGACCTACAAAGATCACCTTCCCCCCCCAAGCCTGATTGCCACTGATGATTATCCCGTGAATCAGTTCAATTTACATACTGTCAATATGTCTCATAACACTAGATCTTCATCTGGAACGCTTAATACTAACTAAGGTTCCAGATAAGAGATATTTTATCACAAATGATACGATTTTGAAACATTTGAAATTTCACAAATAAAGCCAAACAGAATTCAGAGGAATGGGATATCATTTTATTTATTAAAGCTGTATACAACTCTACACACAAATACCATAGGCTCAAACTGTATTATCAGGTTTGCGTTTGATCATCACTCCCTCTTTTCTTAATTCTTCTTCGGCTAAAGACATTAGTTCTTCTCCAGATGCGTTCGGATGCAGTTCCCTCAAACTCTTGCACTTCATCAAAATCCTGTATTCAACGTTTACTGGTATTAATATTTACTTGTAAAGAGTTGATCGGTTATCTGAGAGCCTGAACATGTTCAAAGTCTCCGATTTGTACTGTCCTGTATTATAAATCCTGATAAAATTCGTAAACTAGTGACTGAAATCGTTACGCTCTTTCACGGTCCTCTGGATACAAAATATTTCGGACGGCATTTGTGGGACACTGTCGATCATATGTTGGGTCAACCCGTGGAGGGAATGCTTTATACACATCGTACCATAAAGGACGATCTTCATGGGCTAATGCACCCTTCTCTATCATTCCCTTAACTCTAGAATGGAAGTTTGCATTCCATTGTTTTTTTATACAAACCTGTTAAATATGGATGCGAATTTCTCTTTACGGCTCCCGAGCATTTTAATTTGCACACCTAACCTTGTCTAGGTCATAATGGAAATCCAATCGGATTTCGGTTGACATTCCGGCTGAGGACAAACGCTTTAGAGTATATTGCAATTTCCTGCAGTGAGTATCTGAACTTATTTAAGCATTAGTTGAATGAATCACCCAAAAACTTCTGGGAGTCGTTTCGAAGGTTTAGTGAATCGGAGGCGTATTTCAATATCCAGTATATTTATCATTCTTAATTTACTTTAGCTTGAATCCACGCAGTATTTCGGCACAAGTATGGAATTTTTAGCATGCACTTTTGGTAGCTCAAAATCAGCAGGCCGACCACTGATATTAGGTGTGTGTCAGCATGGGGTCGAATCCTAGAACATGTGCATGTTCGGCAAGAGTCCTGAAAATGATACTATATCGATATAGTTGCCTCTTATCTTTTAAACTCCCTTCTTAAGCTCTTTGAGATTTATCTACCTTGTAGAAGGGATGAAGGAAGAGACATTAAGTTCACAGTCATTTTTCGGAATTTCGAACTTCTTTATTACATCAGTGTCTACAGTTACATCCATGGTGAGCCCTCATGTTTAATTGGGTTCATGCCACCTCGTTGTCCTCCATCTTAAATTTTTCTGTATCTGACTTATCATTGTGAGTTTCGTTACAAGTCCTAAAGGCACTCGTTTACTTTGCGGTGAATACTGAGATAATCGAAATTCTGTAACCCAACTACTTTATCCTTATTTGATATATAAGGGCTGAAGGAAACTTGAGAATGTAGATAGGAAATTGTTGTCCCATAATGCTTCTGGGACTAACCTGCACACCTGTGATGTACTGTTACTTATCTTGGGTCCTTGTCTGCGCCACAGAATAACGAGGATTTTTACGGCAGACCGATGGTTGTAATGTTATAATCGCTTCTCACTCTTAAAGTACTTTGAACTCACTTTTTGATGCCCGTAGTGAAAAGCTAACTGATTCCTGCACTCAACTAAAGGTTCATGGGGTCATTTTAACCTATTTTCATTGTTGTAGCTACATTGAAATGCTGGAGAAATCACTTCCGGTACTTTGATACTTTTCCATTATGTCCGTAACTTTTATTATCAAACTCATGATGCTCCACGAAGGACAATACATATATTCATTGCAAAAGTACAGACTATTCAATGAGGTCCACGATGTCTGCCACCTGGTATATTAGCATCAGCTAAGGCGGAATTCGAGGATATGGTGCTACGAGATTTATGAGATCCTCCAACGGTCCATGAGCTTCGCCCCTCTATACGGTCATTGCGACCGCCTGTGATTAATGACTTGTGGTGGCTGGGCAGCACCCCATCCTGCATCCACATGATTTTTCTACTGAACTTTATGAGAAAACCATATGTGCAAATATCAGTGTGACGCAGACGTATAGTCTGATTGCAGTGGCCAAAACAGATGACCGAAAAGCGTCTGTTATAACGTCTTTCCAACCATTTCAGCCCCTGCCATTAATTTTAAGAAATTCTCTCAGTCTTTCCTACGCTCTCTGTGGCCGAGTGGCCAAGGTTTTTACTATAGTGCATATTGACTGTGCTCCTACAGACAGTACTTTCATGTTCAAGTATGAAAAACAAAATCATGTAGACGGTGCTTCTTCAAGTGAGTTTTCGAAGCATCAAATCACACAAAGTTTCTCGAGCCTATGGAGCAAAGGAAGAAACATTTACAAAGTGCCCAATCCAGATTCCTTGAAAACAATTCTGCGCTCCTTTGAGATCTTTGATTTCAATCTACTCTTCATCCTTTCATGTACCCCAGTCATACCTTCTCAAGGGAAACTCAGGAAGATTTAATTTATCGCCAGAAACAAGAGAAGCATTTGCAGATGCTAAGAATGCACTACTAAATTCAAGGGTGTCTCTTACGTTGCATACGGATGCTTCTCAGAGAGCTGTATGAATGGCCATGAAATACGAAATATTTGACGGAGCTACCAATATCGCCTTCCTCCCAAACTGAAATGAACCTACTGAAATCCAATAAAGGACCTATGGTAGAAGCAAATCATCTTGTAGGGGATCAATGAACGTCATTCGTTCAACTGAGCTTCAGCCGCTTCTCATTCAACGAGAAATTTGTTTATTTGTGCAGTTGAAAACACTGTGAACAGCTGGATTTTCCGGGGGCAACACTGCATCTGCTCATTAGAGTCTGATTAGGCATCTCCATAGCACCTACATATAATCTGAAAAAATTGGTTCTGTCAATGTAGTTGAAGATTGAACGATCAATTCACGGTTGTTTGCTCAAACCCATCTTCCCCATAATTTTCGCGGCTCATCAATCTGCCAGTCATCGTCTCGTCGGTCGCTGTTCAGAAAGCAGCTAGAAAAAACTGTCAGAAGTAATATCGTGATTTATTATTGTAGTATTTGTTCATAGACTTTAGTTTATTATGTTGCTTATATGTTGGTGTTAGAATAAAGAATTCTCGAGTCGCCAATCTGTGTTCTGGTTTTTGCGTCCGTTAGTACTCAGCATTTCTGAAAGGCTTCGAGGGACAGCGTGAGGCCCGGCGTAGCAAGAGCTGGGCATTAACTGTTTTGAGACGTGATTGACAGGTTCTCTTTTTGAATTTAGGGAAATCGATAAGAAAATCTAGTTTATCTGAATCGTGTAATGTGTTTTCACATCACATTCTAAACTCTATGACCACATGCGTACTTGTCATAAGAATATATATATATGTGAAAATAATGTGAATTTTAGTAGTTAGAAAATAGACTCAGGTCAAAATAACCGTGGAGACCAGTTGACCAAGGAAGGCAGGTAATAATAAATCCACCCTGATATCAAAACAAAGTTTATCAATGAAGGTTTAATGTGATCGCGAAGTGTCATCGAATTTGTTTTGATACCAGGGTAGATCTACTGATACCTCCCTTCATGATTTAGGGGGATGAAGTTAGCTTGGCCAGGCTAGAGAGTCGGCTGGTAATGTGACCAAAACTGTGGTAGACGGCCACACAGAAATTGTGAGCGTTATTTCTATCTGAAGCACATCGGTGGGGAACCCAGAGTCATTCAGGAAACATGACTTACTTTCTTCCCAGTAGCTATCTATCTGGCAGCCAAACAGTTCAACTATTTTTTACCCTGTAGTGATGCATCTATCACTGCAGGTCTCCATGTTGTTTTAAAAACTTGATTAGATAGACAGTATCCAAGGGAGAGGCCAGGGAGTTAGATTACGTCTCAACTCGCTATATAATAATAATAATTTTATTTTCATATAAACATAAATTTACATGAAAATGCATGCCATTTTTACAGGCACGATCAAGTATGGTATAATGTCGAATCCTCAATTGTCTACAAGTTAATGACGTTTCAACAGTTAAATATTTGATACATATATATGAAGGCGTGACAACACAATCGCCCACACCCGTCAGCACACATGCACACAAAACACACACACACACTCACTCACGCCGACAGACACGGGTGCGTCAACGCCCGAGTGAGTGAGTGATCGATTGAGTGAGTGAGTGAGTGAGCGAGCGAGCTAGGAACATACCACCGGTCAATCGACATCTGTCGGTTGCTAGAACTGGCTCAATTCATTCACTACTGATATCCAGTCTATCGAAGGGAATGAGAATTTTATTCCCGACTCACTTATTCGAGGTGAATCAAGTCGGATCATGTCGCAGACAGATATCAACAATCACCTGCCACATAAATGACATCTCCAGTTGCCCCAGATAGCTAGGTATCTAGTTCTGTAGTACTTCCTACAGCTACCTCTGTTTGTACTATTCCGATAATTCATCCTTGTATACCACGTCTCCATAGTTCTGCATCAGATGATAGCGAATGATGTGGTAGGAAGATTGTAAGACAAGTGAAGGTCTTCTTGATGAGACAACATGATAGATGTAAATGGTAAAAACGCCTTCATTTCATGCCGGTCGGTGTTCAATCAGCTGTAAAAAGTAGACTTGGAGCAAACGCCACTTGAACTTATTTATTGAACCAAATAAACTTCACCCAATTAATAAGTTCCATCAGATATTTCGAAACATGTTACTGTTTCAGCATCCATGAATCAGCTAACCCGACAGGATGGCAAAAACTTGGTGTCTTGAAATTCTCAAACAAAGTATAATTATATTTTAATAGTTTACACACAATGATAAGTTTTGTTATTGGTAATTTTGCTCGAAATATTACCAATAACAAAACTTATCATTGTGTGTAAACTATTAAAATATAATTATACTTTATTTGATCTAATCCACAATGCTCAAACTTTTTACTGATATTAATCTTGAAATTCTGTTTAAATTGCAGCAGACGGGTGGGGAAAGGGATTGCAACCATCTTGTGATAGATATTTTTTAGTGCTCAGCAATGCGGATCAATTCTTCGCAGTTGACAAAAATAGCGAAGATATCTCCGCGGATCAAAGCAAACCAGCAGCAGTCCATGAAAGTGAAGCCGTTTTGATACCCGTAGGAGCACGTACTCTCCCGGCTAATGCTATTCCAGTGGTGGAAAAGTTCTTCACTACTTGTGATGGTACATGCAATGGACAGCATATAGAAAAATTATAACACAATGAGCAGCAATCAAACAAGGAAGGAAAGCAGAGAGCCAACCCCCCAAGACCGTGTACTTTGCGAATTGCAAGTAGTCGGACTACGCAGGAAAAGCTCCGACAAACAAACGGTCCATTTTTCATTATTGATATCATGTCCTGGCAGAACTAACAAACTAATATGGAACTCTTTCCCTAACGGCTTATAATATGTCGCATAGTCTGCACGCTACGTTCACATCCGCCAGTAATTTGAGCATCAAAATTTGCCACCGTTACGATTGACCATATTGCCTATATATATATATATACGAGGGGAAGTACCTTATTATTATTATTGCTCCGTTGGGTTCCTATTGAAACATAGGGTTTCAACTGCACGTCTCCACTTGCCACTACTGTCTTCTACTGTACTTTTCG